GATGCCATGAGCCAGTGCCTAATTTATTTTTCTAAAGTTTAGGCAAATAATAGAAGTGTGTGTTTCCACATGAGCTCTGAGAATCCATCTTTTAACACCCCCAAAGTAAAATAAGTCTTAAATATAAAAACAAAACTCCAGCATGATCTGTAGATTTGTGGAAGGTCTTGTTAAAACAAGGCAAGAGGGGGTCTTTGGATGGACTCCTTTGTGCTCAATAAAAGTATTAAATTTGGGATGGGAAACTTAGGAAATGGGAAATGCTTGGGAACATAGTTGCAGGTGAGTTGAGTGATTGTGATTGACACTAACAGTTTGTTACAATTTTTCGACAGATGGGACTAAAGGGGGAAAAATATAGGGTGGTACCATATTTTAGGTACATGATAATGCAAGGCCAATCTTGAATACCAGTATTGATTTTCTAGCTTTCTGTTGACATAATAAAATTCTGTACTTCCCCCTTAACTCTATAAACTTATTGGTGTTGACTCAAATCATTCTTTTGGTATTAGATAAATGCTCTGTGGCTTGGGGCCAAAGTGTTAGCTTAGGTGTCATTTTTGATGTGCAGGAAGTCATCTTGAATTAAGATTCTTCAGTCAGTTTCAGCCATATAGGCAGCTTTCTCCTATTGAAGACCATATTCTCTCTTGAGTTTGGCTGAAGCCATTGATGGATGGGACCAGGATTAAGTGAACCCATACCTTTTTATTTCTAGCACTTTCTCTCTAATTCATCTGTTCTTTCCCTATTTTCCTATCTCACTTCTTGCTTGGTAGGCTGGGATTTGAAGTGATTACATGACAAGATATTTTAAGTTTAGCTGAGAGCTTTATGAGTTTTGGCTAAGGATCGCATATGGCTCTAGCATTGCAGGTCACCTACCAGTGGACAAGATTCTAATTTGTTTGTCTCATGCTTTTAGTACCTGATCCCAATACAGTCTTCTTGGTCTTTTTTAATATGGTCCTGATATTCTCAGGAAAATGGGGGAGGTTCTAGGGAAATGAGTTCTTCCTCTTACATCTATTTTTGCAAGGTGAAGAGATTTAGATTATGAAATATGTGTAGACATTAGGTGTTGAATAATTTTCTTGTTCATGCCTGTTGTGGCAAAGGTGTGATACCTTTCTGTTGTAACTTTTGCATATGGATTAGGAACAGTGTTAACAATCCAAGAAAATAATGGCCATAATACTATTGGTATGCAGTAGGGGAAATTGCATAAGGCTTCATAGGAAGATGCTGCTCATTAACAAGATGCTGGTTTCATTCTTAAGTGTGCATCTAATCATGCACATGCCAAATAATGCAGCAAGCATCTTGTTAATGAATGCCAGTTTGCTGCAAAGGCTTAGGAAATTTGAGTGATGCGAACAAAAATTGCCAATAGAATTCTGACCAATATAGTGCATCTAATCATCTGTAAATTTTATTTATCTGACTACAGAGCGCCTTTGACTTAGGCTTGTATACATTTTTTCCTTTGCTATATTCCTATGGATGTCTAAAATCAGCATTGGCCATTATACTTACAAGTAAGCCCAGCTTCCAAGTGAGGCCATGCGGAATATTTCTGACCTTGATCTTGTCCACAGCAAGTCGTCTCTTCCACAGGGAACAGCGTTTACAGTAATTTATGCTGCATGGAGACAGGGATTTATGGGAATTCTGTTGCACTTTGTCCACCCTGCCCTGAGGCATTCATGTTGTATATGACGGGGTCCGCATGATATTAGTTTAAAAGTGTGAAACTCTATAACACAGCTAAACGTGCAGGATGTTAAGGAGCAGGGCTTCCATGCATGCCCATGTTTGTGCCCTTGTTTAGGTCTGCATCTATTGTTCCTGTAACACAAGGAAAGACTAAATCACGGATTAACTTCAGTGAGTTGGTAGGCGATTTAATTTTGCTGCGGCTATATTTCCATTACTGCCATGTGCCACTAAAACTGATAGGCATGACAACACCTCAGAATGGAAAACTCCACTTCCAGCTGCTGGAAAATCAAATTTTCATGTTAAAATAAAACATATGGAAAGTATGCACAGTGTTTTAGAGGGAATTTCTTTTCCCAGAGGGCTCCAAGAGCATACCTCTCTTCTAAAACAAGCCATCACTCTCTGTGTTTATCTTTCGTTAAGGTAGGAGCTTCAAGGACTGCAAAAGCATACCTCTCTTCTAAAACAAGCCATCATTCTGTGTGTATCTTTTGTTAAGGTAGGAGCTTCAAGGAATGTGGGGAGATTTCATTTATGCTGTGGGTCTATGTTGCCCACCCTTGTTTAGTCCAGAATCTATAAGTATTATGCAGGAAAAATGAACACCAATGATTACATGCAGGGAGAAAAATCTGCTTATGATTTGGAACCTGATTGGCAGAAGTGAGCAGGGCAATCTCTAAATTGGGCATTTATCATGGAATCACGAGGCTTGTTCACTCACACAATACCTTGGGATCCATGTGACAGATCATTGAGTTCTTGTCATGTTGCTTCTGACTGTCTGCAGGTGCTTCTAGAGTGAGGGCTTTTGCCGCTCACGTTTTAAAAATATTATGAAGTTATTCCATACTTTTCCTTAATTGATTTTCTTTGGTAAGAAAAAAAGACAGAAGAATCCAAAGCATAGCATTGAAGAGTTGCAAGCTGTGAATGATGTGTCTACGTCCCCCACTGATTTAAGTGAATATAGTATTCAGAGACTGTGATGAAAATGTGGTCTAGAAGTATCCTGCGGGTTTTGAGTATGTGTGTGAGGGTTGACAAAGGGTAGAGGAATAATAAAACTGGATGCTATTCTGGCAGCTCTTCTGTCTTCAACAGACATGGTTATGGATTGGGCAGTGACCTATCTGGCAGTGACCTGTCTGGTACCCGAAACATTTATAGCTTAACAGACCACAATCTTGTTGGTATCTGTATAATTTGCTGAGGCTAATGGTGGCTAAGTGAGGAGACATCAGGGGCATCTGGGTCATATGCCCATCCCTAGTGAGGAGACATCAGGGGCATCTGGGTCACATGCCCAGTTGTACAACCAAAATACATCCCCAGCACCACCTCAGTTAGGCACAGTTAGCTGTGGTAAGTTACAAAAACCTTGTGTGAATACTGTCAGAACTCCAGCCAATTCAGTATAATCTTTCTAGATTATGCAATTTTATTGCTTTTCTATTGCCATGATAAATGTGTTTCCAATTATATACTGCAAAAATTTAAAAATAGGAAGCCACTGCATATACTCCTGTAGCCCTATAATTTTATGATACAATGCCAGGATTCTATTGGTATCTGTGTTAGATTAAGCATCCTTCAGTCTTGAGGGACTATGGTAACGTGCTCTGAATAGAGGACTTGGAACAGCGTCTAGTGTGGCTGAGAAGGCCAATTCGACAATCCCTTCCACACTGAAGAGAAATACAATCTGTCCCCTGTCCAGCTCCCTGATTTTGCTGGTTTCGGGACTGACTCTCGGCCTCGGCCTGCTGGACAAAGGTCTCTTCAAAATGGGAGAGTCCGTGATGCAACGCCTGCCTCTGTGTGTCAGATGTCAAGGTTTCCCATCTGTGGAGGTCCATTCCGAAGGCCTTCAAATCCCGTTTGCAAATATCCATGTATCACAGCTGGGGTCTTCCTCTGGGGCACTTTCCCTGTGCTAATTCTCCATACAGGAGATCTTTCAGAACCTGACCATCAGCCATTCTCACAACATGCCCAAGCCAACGTAGACGTCACTGTTTCAGTAATGTATACATGCTAAAAATTCCAGCTTGTTCCAGGACTTCTCTATTTGGAACGTTGTCCTGTCAGGTGAGATCAAAAATGCGTCGGAGGCAACCCATATGGAAGGTGTTCAGCTTCCTCTCCTGCTGTGCACAAAGGGTCCAGGACTCACTGCAGTACAGGAGTGTGCTCAGGACACAAGCTCTATAGACCTGGATCTTGGTATATGCGGTCAGCTTCTTATTAAACCATCCTCTCTTTGTGAGTCTAGAGAACGTGGTAGCTGCTTTGCCAATGCATTTATCCAGGTTGACATCTAGTGAGAGAGTGTCAGAGATCGTTGAGCCAAGGTACACAAAGGATACCTTTGTATCTGTGTAAGTTTTGTGTAATTTTCTATGGTGAATTGTGGCTGGGTGATTAGATACATTACAGTTACCTGCCTAGTCGCGTGTCTATTTCCATAACTGAAATGCTCTCTACCACTAGAGTCACAGTAAGTTACACAAAGATCAATAGAATTCTGGCCAATATTGTACAAAATCTTTCCATTTACACCCTCAGTTTAAGGAAATGGTTAGTAGTGGTGATTGGAAATATGTCTAAAAATGATTTTTTAAAATTAATACTGTATCAATGTAGCACTATACTTAGTGTAACACAACTTTTTTTTTTTAAAGTTCTGGTTTTATAAGTAAATGATGAGAAAATTGTACCATGCTAATTTAGGACATTTTGTTTTAAAAATCTTGTCCCAGTTATTCCTTTTAGCCGCCTTGCTAACATGGTGATGACTGCAAAAATCTTTTAAAATATTGCATTTGTCGCTATAATGATGCTCTAGTTACTATGACACTTCATTGTAAGTGATACATTGCTATTATTTTAACATTTAGTGAAACATAGCTGGAAAAGCAGGTTAACGGTAGTTTAATGACAAACTAAAAGTAGGTGAAGAAAAGATTCCCATTGCAAAAGCTTTGGTGGATGTACTCCAGAGGCATCTATCCAGGTGAAAATCATGCCACTTACAAAATTCTGCACTGGAACGGATGAAACATAGTGGGATATAGAAAGAGAAATTGTGCCATGTCCACTGATATAAAAAATCAAGTGCAATTCTACTTGTTCACATACAGGAAAAGAGCTACGGTTTCTTAGAGCCGGGAAACACTGATCTAGAAGCACCCCAGCTTTTACTGATATTGAATCAAGAATTACATTTACAAATATATTTTATAAATAAATTTCCCTTTTGATTTTTTTTCCAGGAGGCCCGCCGAGGAAAATTCTCCATGAATGTACGTCACAATGATGATGACCGACCAAATCCCACTGGAGTTGCCATCATTGCTGAATGGGGAGGTAGCTATGATGCCTCACTTAGTCAATGGAGATGGAGCACAACAGGTGAGCAAGTGTTTATGTCTCTTGCACTTATTCAGATAACTTGGAAGGCATAAATGGTAATACTTTAAGACAGTATTGACTGAATACCTCAATTCTGTTTTCTGCTTGGTAAGAAGCAGTGAAAGCTGGTCCATTAGGGCCAGTGGGCTTCTGCCTGGTCGCTCAATAAATGGTAAAGGCCATACTCACCTACCCTCCAAAATTTCCGAAGACTGTAATGTAGAAGCTTGATGAGCCAAAAGAAGAGGATATTCTTCAGTTCAGCAACACGTTAAATGTTAGGGAGTTGTAGTGAAGAGGAAGGGAGATAAACCAAAATTGGTTTGCTCCACATACCACTGCTATTGGTATCACTTCCAGTCTGTACCAGTTCTCTTGAGCACCAGCCACTCCATTAAGTAAAATAAAGTCTATAATAATAGAGAGGAGTAATAATAATAGAGAAGAGTTTAGTCTGCTTGATGTGTTTTTATTTCACTAATATTCCCTCCACTAATCAAATTCAAAGTAGTGTGTGTAGAGTGTCTAAAGCAAGGGTGGGCAATTAATTTCTATAGGGGGGGCACATGAAAAATCTGAACTATGTTTGGGGGCCAAACCAACTTTGCTTAAAAATAAAATGAAACAGTGATGTTATGATTGTTTTTTAGTTTAAACTTGTTAATCTTCACAAATACTAAAGAGGTTTTTTTGCGGTATGTTAAATATAAGCAACTGATCAACTTCAGACAAAAAGCTATAAATGGTTTCGATGTTCAAAACTATCCATGGGCCGGACAGGAGCGGTTCGCGGACCATGTGTGGCCCTTGGGATGGAGTGGCTCGTGGGCCATATGTGGCCCTTAGGACGCACTTTGCCCAGGTCTGGTCTAAGGGGTCTCTCATCTATACCCAGACCGGCTTCGTTTCAGCAAGATACTGTACCCCTTTGCCTTCCAGCTGTACCCAAGAATAGCATTTGTGTCTTAATGTTCTACATCACGAGAGAGCATATCTTGTTAATTTTCCTCATTTCAGGTTTAGGTGGCCCATTTGTGAAGGGAGATACAAAATGCAGCAAGGAGAGGTTGGATTGGGAGAAGTGAATGTGATTTTCTTTTAGAAACATCCGCAGTGTCTTCTTTTTACCTGTATAATTTGCCAGTCAGGCTGTAGCAGATGGTCATTCCTCATTCTACAGAGAAGATCGAAGAGATGCTATTCAGTTTGACATCAAGCCTTGTTGCTTTGCAGTCCCTGACCAGAATATACCCTGGTCAGGTATTATCTGTACTTCCTTAACTTTAGACAAAGAAGTTGAATGAATGGAAGCAAATTGGACGATACATGAATACAGCCAAGGCAATTTTGTGAATGTGATGTAACATAGTAATGTGTTCTGCAGAGTGGTAGCCCTCAGGCTTTTTGAGACCCGGACTAGCCTTTTGATAAGCTCTGGTGTTTTTGGACAAACTAACCAAGAGTTCTGTCTTCTTGGAGATGTCAATGAAGAAGCAGTGTTGGCTGCCCGAATTGTTTTTCAAAGAAGCAAAGCCTTTTGTTGTGAGAGTAGAAGAACTATGTTAAAGGAAGAATTCTATATGTAATACATTATTGTGATTTTATATAATTGTTTCTAAACATTATAAGGGGGAAAAGTGTAATAAGAACCCAGATTTGTCAGGGTGTGAATCTCTATAGTGGTCTAAGAAGAGTGTGTCCAAAATAGCACTTGGTTGAGTTTCTGAAGCTGAAGCGTCTGGTCCAGGTAACCCAAACAGTTTGCTCTGTCTGCCAGTAGTTCTGTGAGATTTCAGGAGGAGTTTTCCCGAGCTCTAACAATGTGAGGTTTAATTTTATCTATGTATAGGCAACATGCATGCTTGCTCTACATTAGTGCATTCTTCATTTGTGATAGAAGCTGGTGTTTCACAGCAACATTTTATATATTTTACACATAAATTATTTTAAACAATATTTTAGGGGAGAAAATTGAAATCTGAAGTGCAAATTGATGGCCAACATTTCCCATGAATCTGGGATTTCCTAAAAGCAAAGTATGTGTTGTGCCACTGAGTCATCGTTCATCGTTCTGTTCTCGTTCATCTTCTGACCTTTTGCAGCTGTTCTTACTGCATTTGGTCAACAGCCTCTTTCTTCCTTTTCCATTTACTGTCAGCTGGCACTTTTTTTTAAAAAAAGTAACTTCTATTCAGCTGGGTGATATTCAAAACAAGATGTAAAATGTAGGCAATGAATTCAAATTACCTATCCACTAGAGGCAAAAATAGCCAAAATCCTAGTTAGAGAGGAGATGAGTATAATAGGTACATATATATTGAAAACTTTGGCACAGTATATTGGTATGGAGCTGCAGTCTCTTTTCTTTGTTAAAAGAACATATTGAATATTTCTTGGAGAAAGTAACAGCAAACCTCAACTGCTGTGCTTGAGAGTGAATCAAGATAGTTTAAGATTACGTTTGAAATGTTTCTTTGAGTACAGATACAGTACTCAGTACAGTCCTGTTAAAACACATTATTTTGGTATGATATTATCAGAGGGAGGCACCTTAAGCTGGGATGATTGTTTCTCTTAAAACTTGCAGGTTCAAAACATAGAGGCTCTGAAAAGTTTTGAATATGAGTTACTGGTTTTGTCAGTTTTGCAGAATCCTTATGTTGGGATCAATTAATAGCTTTTGGACAACAACAGCTAGGCTGATTGTTGCAGCCCTTTTGGTCTTCTTTGCCACTCACATCTGGAGGGCATGTCTATAGAGAGGAACCTGCTCTATCCATATAGGCTCCCTCTGTGATTTTTGAACCAAAATCCAAATCCAGAGCTTGTCGGTGTTTGGGTTATTTTGGCTCCAACTCCCAGAATCGACCAGTTTGCAAGGTGTTTGAGAGTCTAAAGAGGTTTTTCCTGGTCCTGTCCAAATTATTGGGGATGGGACTTCAAGCATGCATCATAATCTTTGCTAAGGACATGCTCACAACTTACCATATTTTCCCTCTTATTGACAGTTAACTGTGTGGACGATAACATTCAAACAGGAGGAGAGCTTCCTTGTCTGTGTTTGAACTCTAACCTTACTGACATGCCAATTCTATTCTGAGTTCATGATGCTTATGACCTGGTATGCTATTTAAAGCAAAGCAAAGTGTGCTGCTTATATACCGCCCCATAGTGCTTCAAGCACTCTCTGGGCGGTTTACAAGTTAATTCTGCAGGCTACATATTGCCCCCCCCCCAAAGTGAGCTGGGTACTCATTTAACGATCTCGGAAGGATAGAAGGCGAGTCAACCTTGGGCCGGCTACCTGGGATTGAACCCCAGGTCATGAGCACAGTTCTGGCTGTAGTACAGTGGTTTAACTACTTCGCCACAAGGCTCTTAGCTAGAGTTTGGAAAGGTTCCACTTCTGAACTACAATTCCCAAAATTTTCCAGCCAACATGAGCAGGGGGCATTATGGCTGGGGTATTCTGAGAGGTATAGTCTCAAAAAGAACCTAACATTACCCATTTCTTATAGTATAGCGTCATTGCTGGGTGTTGTTCTAACCCTTTATCTCTTCCTCATCTCCAATTCTGTTGCCATCAGTAACTACATCTTTAGAGTTTGTTCTTTACATATAGCTGCTCAGGAAATAAATCTCAGATCTGGCTTAAAACGGTAGTGCCTGGATACAGTTTTACTTAGTTACTCTACTGGAGGAATGGGTCTTGTTTTCAAGTGAAAATACAGGTTCACGAAGGATTTGGATATTTGCTTTTAAAATTCTTTTTAACAACTTCTCTTATCTCCTTTAAGCTGAGTATGTTTACTTATGAGACACAATCATGAATGTGGTAGGTACCTAATAGTGTATCTAGTTGGTGTTTTGAGATTGGTGGTCTTGGGTAACTGTGGTTTTGCCTAACATGGCTGAACAGGTCCTTACTCAAAGGGCTCACTATTTCTTGATGGTTGTAAGCCTTGGGAATTCAATATGTAAGAGATTTGGGGGGTGGAGGGAAGAACAGAGAAAGCTAACAGGAGTTTCTGATTGAACATAGAGATGGAAATCTGGACGATTCCCCTGAAAGGAGCAGTGAGCTTCAACTCTTGGCCTGTAGGTCTGAGGAAAATCCACGCCTGTAAGCTCTTTTTTTTCCTTCAGATTTTCAAGTAAACATGCATACAGTGTGGAGACTGTGGCCATGTCCCTCGCCCACATGTGTTCTTTGTATCCTCATAGAAAATCTGAAGGGGCTCTCTAGAATCTCTTAAAGTCTAGCTGTAAAGAAGATATGCCTGAGTATACAATATCTTTTGGTTTCCTTCCTTTGCAGCAGTGTACTTTTAATTTTCAAGTGAATGCTCTACATTTTGGGTTAATTATAGCATTTGGAAACAATGAATTCTCTTTTACAGTGAGGGGAAGAAGAGAGAATGAAAAGAAAAATCACCAACTATCCCTTTAACTGACTATCATGGAAAGCTAATGTGGGTCCTGAAGTAGTTCCAGGATGTGAAAAGCAAAAGAAAAAAATGTTTGGAAGACTTGAGAAATAAATCTTCTAAGCGAATTTGCTTACCACCAAGCTGTTCTCAGTCACTGTACATAAACAAAGAAAAGCACAATGCGCCCCAACATTATTTTTCCCAGATAGTGCTCTAAACTTGGCTCCTTCTTCAGAGTTGATGTCATGGTGCACTAGGAAAGCTCTGAAGGAGAGGCGTGCACAGCGTCCATTTTCTTCCTATGTGATTGGCGTGGGAGGGGAAGGCTGAGGGGGTGTTGGCTGGAAAATGTGTTTCATGGTTTTTCCTCCTGTCTTTGCTGTTCCTGCGGAGAAAATGTTGATAAAGAATGTGGGGCAGATGCCAGGGAAGAAACAACGCTGAATAGTGGGGTGTATTGGGGAAGCTTTTTTCCCTCCACAATTAGGTGTACCTGCAAAGTATATTAAGAATCAACAGTGTCTGGGTAGCCAACTTGGTGAGTAGGGTGGTCCATCCCATCTTACAGAG